AGTAAGCTGGAAGCAGACATTTGCACATGAGGAGGCGGTGAAGGCCTCCAGTAAACAGCCACTGTTGTTTACGCGTGGTGGGTTGACCACTTCCCTCTTTAAATGGGCAATTAGCCATTCTGGTCTCACATACCTTCCACCACACGAACGATTCAGGGAACACAATCGGTTGCCCTAATTCACTCACAGCTCACTCATGCACCCCTTCTGTCAAAGGGTGTTGGAGATGTCGAAAGTGCGTGGAGAAGTTCTCCTTGCACACATCTCTCCACCACGTTCGCCATCCTTGTTGGCGTAACGGTGGCAGTGTGTCAAATTATGCGCTGCACGATGGAAGGCTTGGAGGTGCGAGCCCTCACAAGCGGGTAATTGCATTCCGCCTGCAAAGGAAAGGTGGCAGTCGAAATAGCCTTATGGTGAATTGGCAAGGAGTAGGGGGAGGCTGTGACAGGTGGGAGCGTATGTAGCGGCTAAGAGAGTTGATTGTGGTGGTTTGCGGGTTGGGGCGTGGTGAGTTGGAGCCACGGTGACGGAATGAACACTGACAGGAGGTGTTACTATGGCGCATGCATTTGATGGACTCAAGAATTGAGACGATAATTATTCATTCATTGTGGCAAGTCTACTTCTGGTGATGTGAGTAGAGCATTTGCCTAACTCGTGGATGAAATGAAAGGCGGTGCGTTGCAAGTTTGATGATGGGTGAAGGAAAACACAGGGAGGGAGTTTGGTGTAAACAAAAGTTACTCCACCTCTAAATGCTCAATTGAATGCACGAATCACGAGTGCGTTGCTAGTGGAAAATTGTAGACGTGGCACACATGCCAAAGAACTTTGGTGTTTATGCATCCCCAAATGCACTCTCAACACTGCCCCAAATTGCTGTTCTGTCAAAACAACTCGGCATTATGCCTTTTGTCGTTACCTCTCCATCCGTGCTTGTGTGGATGCGAGGCGAGGTGGCGCCACTGCATTAGGTCACATTGGAGGCTGTTCGATTGGGGTGGAGCAGCCAGCATCTCCACATGGGGAGTGAGAATGCGTGAGTGCTGAGTTTGGCGTGTGCCATCCACTGACCAATCAGTTGCGTGCGAGTGAGGACTCCGCATCGCTCCTCTCTGACTATCGTAAGCAGAGGCGAGGCTGACAGAAAGGTTGTTTGTACGTTGCATGAAGTGTGATTGGGCCGAAGGTAGGTAATATGAAGGTGGTTACTGTATCATTTGGCGTAAGAGAGGATTTTCTACATATGAAATATTAAAAGCTTGATAGGAAAAATGAGGGTCCCGAACATGGTTTATACCGCTCAAGTCGCAAGCGTTTTCAAGAAATGCTGGACTAAACAACAGATAAGGTTTGAAAATTTCAAATCAGTTAAAGTATCTCCGTTTATTATGCATTGTTCAATAGAGTACTAAAAACACTGCGTAAGCGGCGTGTAATTTACACGGTTAAATTACCTACCACACAGCATTGCATTTTCAGAAATAAATGGATATTTTGCGCTAGACCCTTCTTTAGCATCCTATTGGCGGGCGACGGCGCTGGCGGAGAACATGAAAGAGTGCAGCTACTGGCGGTAGAACAGATAACAAACTCATCATTTTATCGATTTTCGGTAATTGATTTGTCACACAAAGTTTAAGCTTTGCAAGAGCTCAGTTTGAATGTGTGGTGGTTCGCGCCGAGTACCGGACAGTGCATAGCCGCACTGCTCTACACGCACATTCTAAAATGTAGGTAAAAGAGTAATCGCTAATGCCACAAACAGAATGTCGACCTCTAAGCGTAGTGTAATTGACAAAACGTGTAAGGAGTCACCGACAGTACGACCTTGCCCAGTGAAAGGTGGGTTTTTACAACCAGAATTAACAATTGAGGAACATTTTAATGAGCTCAATTTTGACAACTATAGTTACGCCCAATTTTAGCGGACGTCATCTCATCCCCAACTTCAAATCAACAGGAAGATATTCTCAGAACAAGTAATTTGTTAGTAGTAATGCATGCATTTATGCAATTTATTTGGTTTTTTTGACAGTTGAAATGGCAGAACCTTACTTTCACTTGTAACGGAAGAATGATGCCCAGATCTAGTGTAGAGGTACTTCTAGACTCAAGGCTAATTTGATGACATTTGACTTTTTTTTCGGTTTTGCGTCAGGTGAATGTCTGTCATTCCTTGAAACTCTTCATCAAGGCGACAGTCCAAACAGCGGTATCTCTGAGGAAATTTGCTTAAATGAAGTTTTATGATTAATACTGATCCTGTAACATTACCACTTGACTCTATCAAACAAATGCTTATCATGATTCAGATGAGTATGCATTTGCACCAATTTTTACTGAGGTACCGCCTTGCCTAAAATGCAGGCTACAAACATTCACGAGAACAACCTGATTAGTTGTAAACACCAAAATGCTGGTGACGATAAAATGTGAATGAGAAGTGTTGTCTTCGTTCTCCTCGCTTTTTTAGATCAAAGAAAACGGGATTCCGACTGTGGTTCAGGCTATACCGACGATAGTTCCAGCAGTGGTAAATTCTGCATTCTAACTAGCTGCTTCACCAATTCTTGCATTGCAATTGATGTGATAGAAGTGGTGAAACTTAAACAATTTTGGGGATTCAATTCTACGCCATGTATTTATCCATTTGCTTAGGCGAAACCAGCTGTTGTCTAAGTCCGGAGTATATGCTGCCTCCTATGGAGCACGGTAATTCAGCATTTTGCCCTCACCTTTCGATACACGCACGCTTGCACATCAATTCCAAGAACCTTCTCAGTAGAAGTTTTAATGAGGTTTCTGGATGCCTGGAGAATGCAGAGCATGGTACTGAGAACTGGAATTTAGAAGCAAAAGTAGAAAAAAATAACTTGATTCAAGGTCTTTTACAGTTACAATTTGCCTACCTACCCATTAAAGGATTGTCTTTCTAACTTGAGAGAAGACTGCCACTTAGGACCCTATGACCCGCCACCAAACACGCCTTGCGGTAAGTCACTGCTGCTTACTTCCACTTTAACAGTGCACAGGCACCACGGTCGAGAAATTTAATGTATTTAAAAGAATTTACATTGCTCCACCAAAATTTGCTTTTCTTCTTTCTCCGTACATAAGGAGTGGGTGAACCAAGCTTAAGTTTGATAAACGATATGCGTCATTCTAATGGATTCGTTTCCAAAAGTCGATCTTAGTGCGTCAGAAGGAAACTATTTCCTCCAGTTTGACCGAAATTGGCATTCTGATCCCGATCTACACCGGAAAACAGGTTCCAGCTAGGGAGCAGGTATGCTATTAATGGGTTTTTTATTTCCCGTCTTCTTACACCCTCGTCACACATGAATCAAGGTGTGGGGCGACTTAATTCACCCATAGGATAGGTGAATCCACTCCTCACTCTCACAAAAGTTGCCTCATAACTACACCAATCCCGGTTTGGTGCTAGGTGCTTTAACTATCCCTAATTTAATCGATAGTTCACCTTGTTGCTACTGCAGTAAAAGGAGACTTAAAGTGTGGTAAAAGTTAACTGGCACCCTTTTTCATCTTTTAACTATCTAAGACTTTCTTTCATCACTGCAGCACAGGAGTCAAAAGTCGAAACTAGCAACCTTTGGATTGCTTTTATTTAAACACCTCGATGTCCTGACCATCTTATCACCATGACATTACAGTGATGAGGTTGGGCATTCATTTTCAAGTTTTTCATTTACTATTATACCTTACAAAACTGTACGTTTCAAGCACATTCCTCGAAATAGAGGAAATGTCTTCTTTTGAGGAGACACCTTACTTTTTGCTTCATTATTCTGTTCGACTACGGATTTCGGGTCAAGACCGTCTAGTAGTAAATGCAGTGCTTGCATACTCCCCGGTTTTAATGACGAACGACTAAGGCTAGATAATCTGGTATCAGAGACCTTAAATAGTTATGAACAGAATGCAATCTTCCGGTGTACTAGACATTTTCCTTCTTCAGACAAGTCTGGAGAAGCTGCATAATATTACCACATTGCAGCTCTCTAAGTGTATACCTAAGACTAGGACGTAGGTAAATCTGGGGAGAAACGGTAGACCCATTTACGCTAAAGCTAGCATATTTAATCTAAAATCTCCAAAAGAGAAGCCCCTTTTTACCCGAAAACAAAAGATGTGAGGGCTATTCCAGCTGTAATTTTAAAAAAAAGTGAAGTGAGCACTCGCCTGACCAGTTGTTTTTCTGGGTAAAATTCTGCCTAGGCACGGGCGCGAAGTTCAGATTGCGGGCACATTTTATCGATCCACGTCATGATATTTGAAAAAGGCTTCATTGAGAGGTTAAAAATAAAATGAGTATATGCCGCAACGATGGCCACCATTCACCCATCAACCCCACATTCACCTTCTGGCCACATTACGGCGATGAGGAGAACCAAGAGAAGCGAACGGTGTTTTTCAGTTATCGCGCTAGAAGTACCACCGCCACACCTGCAAGAAATGTAGAGGGAAATAAAATCAAAATATCCCCCCTAAACAGCAACCAGCTCAAGATCGTGAGTAAAGGCAGCAAAAATTTAGCTGAAGTTTTGACACCAGGGATATCTACAACACCCACATTAACTTCGTCCTACAGACGCCCAAAGGATCGACCTTCGGCCCTCGTCTCACCACTCTCTTCATTTGAGCGTTCGCGTGGCAACAACGTTCGGGTGAGTCACCTGCGTTTGAATCCTGCTACCGTTGGGGCCCCGAGAGCTCTGCTGAAGAAGACACCACCACCACCACCACTACCCCCACCCCCCTCTCCACAGCCATCACCAAGGCAAAAATTGCACCTGTGCCTACAGCCATGTGAGCTCACTTCCAATAAAAATGCGACGGCAACCACTGCCTCGCATCTCCAGCTGCCGTCGAGCCAAAATAGCAAGAAGTCCTATACTTCCTCCATTCATGTCCGCGTAAGTCCTATTGCGTCTCCCATTACACTCGATTTGCGTGAACCAAATACTACCTCAGCTTCCACAAGCAATGCAATTCCTCAAAGCCCCAACTCACATCCCACGATAGTACGCCATCAGTTTGCCTCCTCCCATTGCCCATTCAACTTCAGATACAAGGGGATGCAGTATGCAGAAGGTGTCACATTGCCGGATGAGAAGACGGCATTCACCGACACCGAGGCGCCCTTACCGAGTCCACGCATCATCCAGCAGTCCTTCGATGAGAGGCATGGTGGAGTTATGCCCAGGACCAAAGAATGTGCCGTTTGGAAAAACACATGCGATTTACTATCCAACGAGGCGACAATATCGCAATCTCGTGAATCGGTGTTTCCCTTCCCATTAGGCGATTGTAATGACCTAAAAGAATCGAAAGAGATTGACAATGAAACTGCAAACTCAAACAGGCTCCGAATTGTTTCACTTCGAGTGGGACGCGCGTGTGAAATTGTGCGTCCTTTCTCATCTTTTCACTCGCTCACCTCCCTAGAGGGTCTCCAAAAAGCTACATTCGATTATTTTACATCTACAAAAATGAGAGCTATTGACAGCACTCCACGCATCCTGTTCCACGATTCAGTCAGCGAACCAATGGTCTACAATTCTTACAAACCGCCTGATCCCTCTTCTGAACGGCATTTTGACATGCCTCCCGACAGAGTGACCACTCCTGGTTCACCCTACTTGCCAGACGACAATGTCTGTTTTCAGACATTGGGTAACTATTCCAATGCATTCCTTGGAGAGAGCTGGACACTGCCAGAGACGGCAAAACAAAAAGTGGCTGTTCCGCCGCCAATGCGAGAGGTAAAACTAACTCCTCAAGAGACAATAGAACGAATCAACAAATTGCGCAGCATCCTTCGAATCGACGAAAAGTTCTACCCCCTCCAAGTGGACAAATGCGTTCAAGTTGAGCAGCGTGCAAGAAATGCTCTAACTTCGTGCCAAGCATCCAAAGAGTGTCAGGTGGATCAAATGTCCACAGATTTTTGGGATACCGCGACTATCAGCGATACTCAGTCTTTCAATGAGCATAGTGCTATGAACACCAATATTGTTGAGGATCATGGCGATTGTGTGCCACAGCCATCTTTTCGTAATCATCCTCATCCACAGGAAAACGCTTCCTATCCACTTCGTATGGGAAGGGAGGAGCCGAGGGTACAAAATTCTTCACCAAAATCTGTTCGTCGTCGATGCCATACTAAACTTTCAAATCTGAAGAGGGAAGATGAAGAGGATACAGAACTTATCTCGGGAGCGCCATTTATGACATCTCGGACGGTCAGATCCATGTCGGTGGGTGAAAGTCAACGTCTACCACCGTCCGAACAGGGCTCGTTCTTCGCTGTCAATGGATCCTCGTCACCAATTTCGACAAAACGGTGGGAGGAGTGCCTAAATCAAGTGAACGCAAGACGCCGACATCACTCGGCCTCAAGCAATATCCACTTGCGCTCTTCACGACCGAAGCGAACCTCTCGTAAACCCTGCACCACTGATCGAAAAAAACAACAAGATTTGAGGTGCAGTTTAATGCGCCAAACATTTGCGTCAGCTCAACGTTGCAAAGCCAGTCGTCCTAGTTAATTCCAGGGCCCTTTTTTAAGACATTGAATGTTGTTTGTGTACAATTTAATTAATCTAAAATTACTTCTCTACAGCTCTGCATCTCCACTCTCAGCCGTTAGTCGCACCACTCTCATGAAGACAAATTCTTGCCGTTTCAGACTTCCCACCATCGTGGTCCTCCTACCCAACGGCGATAATAACCCGGTTATCTTCTTTAAAAAATTCTAGGCACTTTTAAATCTAATAATCATTGTTGAATGCAGTACTCTGCGACTTTCCACAAAATAATGACGAAGTATCTGAAAGGAAGACGTATTGTTGATGTAGGCTTTGACTAGGGGCCACCAACACCTAGCAGAGACCTGAACAAGAAGCTTTAATTGCTTTTAAAAGAAGTAAAAAAATTAGAAAAAATAGCCTAAATATCAGCTATATTCTTACTTTCTTTTTTCCTTGGTCGATTATGCACGTCAACCGTCATTACGTAACTGATGGTGCATGGGAACATTGAGAACCATCTGTTCCAATAAAACTTTTTTTTAAGCAAACGAGGGAATTATTTGACGCCAATGACATTGATTCCACCTAGAGGTTGTATTTGATGTGAAGTCTTATCCAATTCACCAATCCTTTTGGGCCAGAGGAGGGACATCCAGACCATCTTTTGAATGCCCATTGTTGAGCCCAATACTGACCTAACAGTAAGGATTCAAGATAGCAGTGTGGAGATAAGTTCCCGCATCCAATCCTCTCCACCATGTATCCACCTTGGTTCCGCGAGACCGAGAAAGGTGGAAAGATCTTGATACGTCTATACAATTGCAAATAGTTCAGTGCTGTTGTTGTCGGATCAGTGGCTAAGAGGATCTCTGCAGAACTCGAGGCTGTGGAGGCTGCCGAAGATTAAACTCACTCCAAGTCATTAAGTAAGGAGCAGTCACAGATTCTCTCAGCCAGGAAATGCACTTTTTTCCAACAGATCAAGCCTCAGCGGTGCCATCAATGCCGTGTTCCTAGCCTCTCCTGGAGGCGAAAAATGGCCTACGGATCGCAGAAGTTCAGACGAACTTAGGTACCGCGCACCCTATCAGAGAGCCAATGGTGAAGGCCGACACACTAATCGAAGAATTCCACAAACACATTTTTGTCAGAATTACTTCGAGATGGAAATGCAAGAGTAAGGGTTATGCAAAACCCTTGGAAGAAATGCTTCCATTTTCAGAAACAAATTTACGCAAGCGCCATACAAATTAGGGCACTACGTCGGACAGATTGAACAGGTAAGAGCACCGCTTGCATAGCCCGCTCCTAATTGTCAAAACAAAACTTCAGTCATGTGAAGAGATCCGTAAAAGTTTACTTTTCTAATGTTGAGACGGTTGCTATGCATTCATAAGAAAGAAGACCCAGTGTCGAAGGTGGACTGAAGTAGCATCCGACACTGACAAGAATCAAGATCAAGAATAGTCCACTGACATCTCTAGATGCCAATAAAGTAATCAGGAAAGCCTTCCGACGCAAGACTTTACAAAAAGACTACCTGATTTCAACAAAGGAAATGACGAATGACAACCTACTTTCCCGACGCCCTCAGTTCACCCAGTTCTGACTGCAAGGTCTCGCCAATGCGTAACCAATAGCGCTAAAATCCGCATCTCAAGCTGTCATTTCTGTAATTCCCATTCTCTCGACCAAGTGGTACCACTCCTCAGCCGAAGACTCTCCTCCGAACGCAGACTACTTCATTGGTGCGCGGCGGTTTCAAACAAGGCGAAAGGAATCGATACACCGACGTGACCACCGCCTTTGTAACACGAGACATCAGGAAGCACTGCGAGCGGACAAATCGTACACTCGTACAGAACGTCCCATCCGCGGACTAAATTACTTTTCCTGTTAAGGGACGGCCAAAGCTGGCCTGAAATCATAAAAACTTACAAACTCCACGGTACAGACTCGTAGTTTTCAATAGGGAAGCTTTGGGAGTCACAAACTTCCAGCACCTCAAGTCTCCAATACTGTGGGAAAACCAAACATGTTCATCTCACCTTGATTCTATCGCCCACAGCTACCATTAGAGAAGAACTTGCCCTCATTGTCAACCCTACTTTCGCCCTCAGCCCTTGAGTCACGAAATACGAGGTTTCAGAGAAAGATAATTTACACACCCGCTTGTGCACAATCACAGGTCCAAACAGGAATAAAGAATGAGAAGGTAGAGTTGATCACATTGCAGCTTCAACCTCAGAATGACTATCACCATCATCTTCTTCACCTTCTCCCACCTCTTCTTCATCAAAAGAAGTCTCATATTCCACCTCCTCTTCAGCCGTTGCACTGCCCTCATCATCAGAACAGTCGTCCTCGTGGAAGTAACTAAGCGTTACATCGTAGGCGAAGGAAGGGATCGTGGGTGAGGCCCCTGGTAGCGGCAAAGGTGTCGCTTTAGCATTTATATATCGCACAAATTTCGCACTATCCGCGGCGTCGCAGTAGACCAAGGTCAATGCGTTGTCCTCTGGTCTCACACGGAGGAGCTGAAAAAAAACCAACAAATCACAAATCTCACTTCCTCGACTCACCTCTCAAATTATACCTGTGACCTACAGAAGTAGATCTCAGACCACTTGGATTATGAATTCGGACAAGTGAGAATTCGAATATAAACTACTTCTGGTATTGCCTCTAAGCATACCTCATCATTGTCCTTCCTGGAAACGTAGATGACCTGTCCATTCCAGCTATCTTGCCAGCAGTGCTGGTTGTCACTATCGCTGCCGTTGATGATACCACTGCTGTTATCACTGGTGGCTGACTCGGCTATTGCTTCCACGCTCTTGCTCACTTTGCGCCCGTAGCCACCGATATGATAGAATAGATCCAGGCGCCAAGTAGAAACGCCTCCAACACCGGACGCAGTTGCATCAACAGCACCCGAGTCCGCGTCCACTAGCAAGGTGTACATGCCCGCCCGCCAACGATGGAACCGTGGGGCAGTCATCTCGGTTTTCACAGTCTCTTCGAAACGTCCTCGCTTTGCTTCATTGGTAATGTGACTCTCCACTTCCTTCTCGCCGTGTCGGGCTAAGGGGTGTAAAGTGACGCCAGTCATTTGGGAGAGAAGAAGCAGTATCGCTTCCGAGGTGAGGAGACGCCTCACTTCATGACATTCAGGAGGTAATTTTGCCTCCACCTCGTCCTCTGTGGCGTAGGGCAGCACGCTAACGTTTCTAAGGGAAAATTAAATTGCAACTCTCCCGTAAACAGTTATGCAGAACAATACAATACAACTACAGTACCATACAAATTTCAGACATGTCATGGCTGCAAGACAGACAGTGACAACGGCTATCAATAATGTAGGAGCCCAACTACTGAGTTTTTGAGCACCATAGAGTACTCAATTTGCGCACTGAGCGATCGCAGAGACCTTTTGCAGGATAACTACGGTTTGAAAGTGCGCTTTACCCTATTCAAATAAGAATGCGTATACACAGACCAGATATCAAATGATAGTAACTTCGCAGACAGGGAAGAACCCCGTGGTGAATGAAAATTATTGGAGCTTTAGGCACTCTTGAAGATAAATTTAAATAAATAAGAAAACCGATGTAATAACTCATTGTCAGTTCAGCAAAGCTGCCAGAGAGTGTGGGCGAACTGCATCAGTTTAGCGCTCGCCTTGACTGAGAAAACTCAAAGTTTCCACAGTTGATTACGGCGCCAATAAACACAGCCACTGCAAGGGAAAAAAGAACTACTGAAATGCACGAAATAGCTGGAAGTAAATGAACAAGATAATATTCTACCAGAAGCCCATCTAGGCGAAGACTGACTTCCGATCAAATAGGGAGGTGAGTCGACTTTGAATGGGACAAAGATAAACCAACCTTCCTAATCGTGGAGGCGTATCAGATTACAATATTCAAGGAAGCAGAAAACAAACTACCAACCTCAAGTCCATTGGTCCTTCCAGAAGCCAAACGACCTCTTCTACACTTTGAATGGCCTGGCACAGGCGCTCCCAGCTGTTTTTCTACATGAAGGAAGGCAGCAGAAGTAAATTAGGCCATGATACAAGAGAAACAACTTACGCAGAAAAACTGAGGTAGTCGAATCTCCGAAGTAGAAATGAAACGGCGTCGGATGACCTTCAATTGGTCCGTGTCAATGTAAATAGGATGAACCCACTTGAACAGCAATTCTTCCTATTTCGATAAGACCGATTAATTACTGTAGGACTGCAGACACCAAACAGAAAAGCGAAACAACACGTACCTCAATGAAGCAGGGAGGTAGACGAGGTATTCTGACTGGGTCACGCGACCGAGGTACACGTGGAAGGGGATCACTCATGTACCACCCATGAATCGAGAGGCGGTCCCGCTTTCCAATCACCTCGGCCACCTGCATTCAGGATTAATAAAAAAGAGGATTGAATTTTCACTCCAACGAAATATTAGATTCTAGAAAAAAATTAACATTAATATGTAAATAGTAATCTGTCATACATCCGAGTCATTCAATCATAACCCGGCCAGACTTGTAACAAGCACTGAAACTATGTGATTGCAAATTATGACAGCAAACACCAAGTGAGTCAAAAAAATACTGACGAACTTCTAGAAATAACGACCATAAACGGCAATATATAGCTAAACCCAGTAGAAAGACAAAAATGAAGTAAATCAGCAAAAGCAGAACCGATGAGATGGTCACTAAGACACTTGGAGATTAGAATAGATAAGATAAACAAATATGAATTACATCTTGGTAAAATGTTTCACACGCTAGCAAAACTGACCTGATGGAAAGATTTTGAGCAGACCTCGAAAAAGGTCAGAGAATTGCGCACAGGAGGGAGAGAACGAACGACTTTCCAAGGGTAAAAGTCCCCGGAATTGGGCAATAACACTGCACATTCAGGACTTGGGCCACTTTCGTAGAGTTCTAGAGCGCCCCCATCTTTAGCGATATTCCAATCATCCGGAACCAGGTAGATAATGAAGGCGATGCGTCGACGTTCCAGTTCGTCATCGTGGCAGAGAAGATAGTCTAATAGACCAGGATCAAAGTAATAGAGGCGGCACAAAGGTTTAAAACGTCAGCAAATACAGTTTCACACCATTCGGCTTGTAAAGAGAGATAGTTGAGGCAACTTCATCCTCGTCCAAATCAGCACCGGTGACCGCCTTCATCCATTTCAGCACATCATCGACCAAGAATTGTCTAAAGGAAAAGCCAAAACAGATACAATTGCCAAGAACATCTTCGTTCCAAATGATGCACAAGCATCAACAGACCTCATCTGATGTAAAAGTGGAAATTTTGAAGCAAGTTTGGAGCTTTTACAGAGCGCCTTCAGATCTCCACTTTGATTAAGTGAAAACAGATCATTTAGCCGACGGTTAAGAGGAAAGCTCCGAGCCTCGTCTTCTAATGCGCTGAAGGCGTCGGTTTCCAGAAAATTTGGAAGCACCGCACATGTGAACGGTGAGTGGAGTATCTTGACGCCAGCTGGAAAAAAAGCTTTTAGATGCATGACCCACGATACATCACATGCAAAGAAGACGCGCTAACCCTCAAACTCTACGGTTTCGTCATTTGTAGAGCGGAACGCCTTCAAAAACAACCTCTGAAAGTCCGAATCCGCGTACTTCGAATTAATTCCAAACGGACCGCCCATATGCACGTGCAAATGAAAATTACTGTTCGTCTGACCCGCCTAAACGAGCAAATAACGAAAACTTTTTAATCAAGTCTAACTTAAATTAACCCATTGTATCTCACAAATATGTAAATTACTGCAGATAAAAAATGCTATCAGACATGCTTTCCGACTAACTATAAATGTGTGCAGTGCAATAATTTACTTTTACGACAAATCAACACTCAAGTATATTTCAGGTATATACAAATATATTACTTTTATAAAAACATTTATAATTTGGATGTGCTGTTGCCTACGGCATTATCACTCTTAATGTTATTACTTATATGGATGCTAAATTTATTTTGCGTGAATCCTTTTTGTATGATGCTTGAGTTGATTTATGTGTTCAGAGCAAAGAGGAGGAGTCTGGAACTCCCTCTCGATCCACCCAATGAGAAAGCCGCGAACACTCAGAAGTTGCAATCGACTCAGTCCAAGCAAACAAATTATTACGCAATCTGCGCACCGATATTAGCTGTCTGCTAATGAAAATCAGACTATATGCTGACTTTTACTCGAAGATTCTGATTGGGCATTAAGCATACTAGCGGGTGGCTTGATTGCTCTTCGATCCGGTGTACGTGTTCCGGTTACTATTTGGTCTCGCAAAATTTCCCGCTTTTTTTTGTTAATTTTCTGTAGATTTGCTACAGTTTATGGCAACCTTCACGTTGATAATCTTGGAGCCACCTCATCTAAGCAGTATTTTGAAGGCTTCTTCTCTGGTTCTCAGCTATTGTATTCTCCCATTTCTTCATCTGCGCCATGTTTATTGGTGCATTGAGTTGCGCTAGGAGTTTTATCACCGTTGGTTCTCATTATGGTATTGTCGTTTTCATAGTGCTCTTGCCTTAGACTTGATTTATTGCTCTGTTTGCGCTGACCCAGTTTTGTCCAACTGCTAGCTATACTGCGTTCTCAACCACCGGGTTCTATCTTTAGGATATTTTTTGCCTATATGGCTAGTTTACCTAAGACCACTCCTCATCCCGCATCACTGACCTCGGAACACGTATTTCGTACTAACGCCGGTTCGACTCACAAAGCGTGCACTTTTCCCCCACGCTTTCCATAGCCTGCACAGAAATGGCGTCGCCAAAAATTTTGAAGATGAGCTGGGGTTCCATCTCGTTGGAGAAAATCGGTGAGGATGGAAAGCCTGTCAAAGGTGAGGAGGTCGTATACAGGGATGCTAAGGCCTGGCCTGGTGGAAGTTGTGCATGGGATTGGAACAAGACCGGTAAATAGCCATTTAGGTGGCGTTGTTCTGTCTTCTGACATCTGACTAGCTTATTCTCTGATTTTCATTTCTGGTATCTGCTCCATTTCTTTAGCGATTAACTACCATTGCCTATAGACATGAAGAGAATGGGCCTTGTAGTTATAGTGCTTGAGGTCCTGTTAACTCGAGTGGCTGTTCGAGATCTCGAAGATTACGTCTTCTTTTACAGCTGTCTTTGCATCGTTGCTGCTTTGCACTGCATTGATGCAGGATATCTCGAACACATAGGTGTTTATTGTGTTTGTTTATTAGGACAGGCGTGGTCCTTAATACTGCGGGTAGTGCCGTTACAAGCACCGTAATACCAGGTGTGAATTATTCGTTTCTTACTTTACTCTGAGTAGGATAAAGAAAGCTTCACTGCACATATTTCTTTCCAGTGTAATGAATCTGATTTTTGACTGCGTTTAGTGGATTGCTTATAGGAACCTCGCACTGGAAAGGTATAACGCGTGAGGATGTGGAGGATTTGAAGGCGAAGGGTGCGGAAGTCGTAGTCTTGACTCGAGGCCAGTGGGCCTTCCTCCACGTACCGCCAGAAATTGTGAAGGAATTAGAGGGGCTCAATCTCAAGGTTATTGTGGAACGCTCACCCATTGCAATGGAGACGTACAACAAACTGGTCACTGAGGGACAACGTGTTGCTGGCCTCTTCCATACCACCTGCTGACCTCATTCACCTTCTAGTGGGGTAGTACGTTGTACACTTTACTTCTTTGCTTTTGTTGTGTTACTGTCTTCGTTTTACTCTGGCTCCTAGGGTAAAAGTGGATTCTTCTGATCTGGGCACGGGTGGCGGCTACTCATAACAAAAATTTTCAGAGTTAAAGGCGAGGGACTGTTAGGTTTCGCCATAGCCATTGTTATTCCCTAAGGAACTGGAGGCGCCTACTGGAAACAAGTAGAATTCGTATGAAGTGGTTTTCGTTCCACAGGCAACTGATTTAAATTTGGTTTTTGAATTCCACATCCTCTCTGATTGAATACGTGGGCAAGCTTACGTGCACGATCGCGGCATGTAGGCGGACAAGCCATAAAAGGCAGCAGGATGGGTTTATGTGGAGTAGGGCGCCTCAGGATCTCTGTGAGCCTGTTACATCGGGTCTCCTTCGTGCCTATTCTAAAATTTATCGTGGCCGCATGCTATGGGTATGAAATGTTACACACTGTCAAGACGCAAATTCGTCTGTTCTAGGATAGAGTTGTGTTCGGTGAGAACAGTTAGCTTGTAACATTAGCAGTTTCAATCGTCTTCAGTTTCGGATGCAACAGTTACGTTACCCAATATGAGGGGTGTCATGGGTCTCAGAGCCTACGCTCTCAAGTTTGACTCTTCGGACATTGTGCTGTGATCTACGGATCACGCAGTCATGTGCAGATCTTGCGATTGAGTTCGCCAAAACTCATCCAACCACAAAAGACAGGAAATGATGAATAACTGCCCAACCTGGGTGGGTAAAGCAGGAAGAGTTATTATTTCGACTTTGCTGATGCAATTCAGTCGAAAATGATGCCACAGAGAGATGCTATAGTAGCACCACCAGGGGAAAGGATGCGGCTGTGTGTCCCTGGGACTTCGGTGCCTCGTTTTTCGTCACTGTAGATTCCGTAGTAAAATTACTTGAAAATTGCAAGTCTTGCGTTTTGAGGTTGCATTTGTGTTTGGCGGCTTGCGTTTGATGTTCTCCTGCTCAAAATTTTGGCTTTGGCCTCTCATCTGGTGGCACTGAAATGCAATAGATGCATCCAGTCAAAAGTGGCCATGTTACTTCAGGCCCTATTTTCTTGCCTCTTTAGTTATGTGTAAGGTAGCTGTGACGGTCGAGGCCGACCACAAAAGACAATTCTCCTAATTCTTTTCCGCTAATGGATGAATCTAAGACAGGTGAAAGGTGCGCACTGCTGTGGATCGGGGATTATCGGCATAACGGTTAAAAGTGCGATGACCTTTGGTGGATATGTCCGTCATGTGGTCCGTGAGAAAGTCCCAAACGCATAGACAAGACCAACAGTAAAGCATTTACCAGGAATCATTGCAGAACCTTAGCTTTCGGTTATGCAGCCTTGTGGTACTTCTCTGTCAACTGAATGGAGCACAAGTAGATGTCAGTAGGCAGCGCTAAGATAAGAGCAAAGCGGGACGAGAAATAGCGTTGGAAGTTTACTTCTACAGTGCTATCGTAAATGTCGTACTTTGTTACTCGGTTCACCTTTTAGACCGCATGTAAAAGTCGGCATAGTTCGGCATCCTCCAAAACTGCTTTTATCCAGGACAAGATCCTTGATTCAGTAGAATCAGCAAGGAGACCAATGGCACTGAGGTCAAATGCTTAAATTAAGTAACATTTGTTTTACTTTCCGATTTCTACTGTAGTGAATGGTTAGGAAGGTGGAAGGCAGTGGAATCCTTTCGCCGTTTGTCGAGCCCGCCGTTATGGTAGAAGGTGCGAATGGGGAGTTTGGCATTGCACTTTTGTTAGGTGGTTTGGCCTCTGGTTCACAGCCGTATTCTAAAGCTCGTCTGTCTAATGCAAAGCACATTCTGCCCGAGTGGCGTATATTCTTTTGTCTTTAGGAGGAACGTGAATCACCGCATTTTCATACTACAACTTAGATAGATTCGGTTTTATTTAAGAATAGCTTTTGGGCCTCCCTAAACACAAGATTAAATTTATGTGAAAAGGTTGAGCCTGCAAGTTCAACTTTTGCTGTAAGTATTACGCAAGTACTATAATCGTCTATTTCAGAATCCTCAATTTCTCGTTGATTTGGGAGGGAGCCTAGGCCATAATCCGATGGCCGTCGGATGTTTAAACAAGGTAAAAGCGAAGGGTGAAATTGTCATCCTTCGAAAGAACTTAGTAAGACATTAAAGTAGTGAAGTTCGTAAGACTAGCAACCACCTTCTTCATGCAAGAGTAAATCGCCCAGGAATAAGTTACGACACAGACGACCTTGCAAGCAACCATAAAGTTTATTACATTTTTTGGTAATACTCAAATGGGTGGAAAAAAAATGCCAAAGAGAGTGACAAAGTTTCCAGACTATCGACTTTAAAGGGCAGTTGGCATTTTGCCTCAATGCAACACTATGGCTAGGGCAGATGGAGAACAAAGATTGGTGGTTGAGCGCAACTAAATGCTGCACCAACTGGGCCGCTGCGTCGCATTAATTGGCGCATCCATAAAACCAGAAGAACCGGAATAAATAAAGACACCTTGTAAAGTAGTCCTGCGCTTTCTATGCATCTTAACCTAGCGTAGGTTGGTAAAGACTAGGCTATTTTTATGGAAAACGATCTAATATTCCAAGATGGCAGGGAATAAAGGTTGGCTTTTTACTCAGTCGCCAAGCCGAAACGTGTATATGACCAGAATTTCTTTTAAAGCGCCAGAACTCAAATGCGATACAGGTTCATAATCACTCCTAATAAGGATGGGCGAGAACGAAGGAATAGTAACCAGCGCTGAGCTTCTAATCGGCGATGTAAATGGTGTAGGAGGGAGGTGATCAAGTTTAATGTGCCCAAAACCTGTCAGAATGGCAGGAGTCTCTCCATCTGATTTCTAAATGCTGCCCTCCCCGGCTCAAACTACTAAAATGTTATGCGTAAGCATGCTGGGACTGAAAGTAGACCAATAACGACTTGTGGAAAGAAAGAGGACTTGAGTAGCATGGAATTATGAAGAGGCCATGCAGCGGACACAAGGCGTTCACGACTAGTTGTCTCATTTGGTGCTCGCATTCGAAATGAACCGTGTCTCCCTTGACAGAAGACAGATTTCTAAAAGGGGAAAAGGAGAGAGAGTATTGATGCAATTGAGGTTCGCCAGTGAAAAAGTTGCCCGACACCTTTGCTAAGAAATTCTTATTATGAGTAATCCACCAACGACATCAACGTTTCATGGCAAGAAAGTACAGTTTGATCAAAGTTGCAGGTTCTTCTTCCCTTCACTCCAAAGCACTCGTAGAATTACGGAAGTCTTCCTAAAGCCCAAAGTCAAGCCTACATAGGCACAACGCTTTCATTTAAGACAAAGTATGGAGGTAAGGCCGTGATTACTCTTTTGATTTAATTTGTTTATATTGTTAACAAATGATTGGTTGTATGTGGTTTAGGTTATGTCTGCATAAACAAGACAAAATGACCATCTGTCAAAGTACCTCAGAAGCACCGAATCAACCCATGCAAGCCATTACGAAGACCTTGCATGCATAGTGAAATGGTCGCTGAAACGTGTAGATAGCATTCTGATTTTACAATGTGACGCGGTTCTAAACATAGGACTACACTTTTCTTTCCTGAAGACTGGATTTTGCCTACAATGTAGAGAAATCTTTTAATTGGAATCGAAAGACGGATCCACTTTGAAGAGCTTAGTGTTGGATAGTGTATGATTTCATTTAGTCCAATTTAAGGTGCAAGATCGAAGACGATTAGTGAATGTTTAGCTGGTTGAACAAGGGTATCTGTATTAACCATTCGAGAGGCCGACAGGGAAGCTGGTGTGCTAGCATCTACCGGAGATTGGGAAGGTGACAGAGATCCGCCAATTAATCCCTTAGGATGACTTGTTTGATTTAGTCGGTCTGTCAGTTAACTTACGCTCTTATTTGATGAACGTTCTCCGAATCTAAATGATCAATTTAAAATCCAATACCGGTTCGACCAAAAGAGCATTAAACGCATTAAATGAGGGAATGAAACATTGGGTTGGAAAAGTACGCACAATTGCTCATTAAAATACCTCCAACTGGATCGGTTCTACGTTGACCCCCACTTATACTGAGTATTTGCCGTAATCCAAGCCAGTGTTTGTCTGCCATCCCCTTCTTTTAGTTCGCTGATAAAATGGCTGAGTTTGTGGCCTTTGGTCCTCTGCCCTTGTAGCAACACTTTTGCCTCTGTCAGTCATTTGCTTCTTTGAAGTGGAGCCCTTACAAACGTATGTAAAGCGATGAGGCGACCTACTCTCCACAATCCAAGCATCGTTTCTCCGTCCCCGACCGCCGCAGTCGCTAACTTAAAAGGCGTAGTAAATCTGCTTGCATATGTCAAACCGAAATCCAATAAATCGATATATTGATGAGCCCTCGATTTACTACGATGCCTACTGTTACAAGGTTCTCTCGCGCTCACGCCGCTTGTCCTGCCGCTCACCGCTCTGCTTTACAGCAGAACCTTTAATAGCTGCTTTTAGTCACTTGAATTGATGCGTTCTTTACACCAGCCATTGACTAGCAGGGATGACAGGATTGCGCTCCTTTCAAGACGTCACACAACAAATGTTTGGAATCCTTTATTATATTTTTTATTCTGACTTAACTGTCATTGTGGCTGGCCTTCAATCATGATGATCGTTTAACAAATGAAGTGATGTTTCCTGTATGCTCATTCTTGTTCATTTTAGTGCAAGTGATTTTTTTTGTCTCTCTTTACTTAAGCCACAGAAATTTTTGAACGTACGTTCTCGTGATTTCTCTCTTTATGCGCCCACATGCTTTGCGGTGCGTGTTTGGTCTGGCATTTCGATGGATGCAGTGTTGCTATTCTTTACGGAGGTGTCTATTGTTTATTCACTTGTCACCTGTTTCACCGTCTAATTGCAGGAAATGAGAAAGCTTACTGGAAATTTTCGACTTTTAATGCTACTATTTGCGTTAATTTTGTCGGGAAATAGGCATCGGCGTGGAGGGCAATAATGCCAACTAATATTTGGCTTCTTAATGCTTGAGCTCCTTAAACAGCACTTACACTCTACAGCTCTAGAACTGAATTGGTTTCACACGTCTCTCAAACAAAATGAGTTCCATGATGAAGCCACCTCCGCGGTGATGCTGTGAAGTGCTTGTTAGAACATGAGAATAGAAAATGATGATAGCGACAACACTGGCAGTCTTAATTTGCCTTTTCCTGTAAACGAGTTAGTAGTAAATCTGACCCTTCCACTGACTGCCATTTGGTATGACGAATTTGCCGATAGTAGCATTTTAAAGTAGTCTCATGAATATACTCGACATCTTCCGACCCATTACCACAAATCGAGGAGGGACCAGCGCTCTGGCTGGCCCTGAACCTACAAAAACAGCATTCCACACCCGCTCACTAATTAGGTGGTAAGGCTTTGCTGTTTCCAGCGTCAACTACCACTTGACCTGTCTCCTAAAGATGATCACTGGCCAAAGTTACCCAATTCTGAAAGACGCGAAATTGACTCAAAAATGCAACAGCGGGGAAATTAGTTGTATTTGCATTTCGGCTTAGACACAATGGCCTTCAAGGAAATGTTTCTAGAATCAAAACAGGAAATATTCATTTTAACACTGCAACATCATTTGGAACTCAAACTCCATATAGACGATGTTAAAGGTAGAAATGGCTTAAGCAATTTTACTGGTCATGATCGTTAAGGCAACTGTATGAGTGCCTACATGAAATTTTTAGACAACTACTAATTCACCATTATTCATTAGATTCCTATTATAAAACCGATGGTTATGGAGACGTCTAATAAGATGGAAAAAATGGCAAGAAGTATCAGTAATAGACTTTATCATTGTACTACTATGCAGAATTTAAGTAGTTGTGTTATCACTCCATGGGACTGTTTACTGCACGAGTCAGTTTTTGCACAAATTAATGTTTAATGGTCCAATAATTGTCCTTTTGCTCACATAACGTCATCTCTAGTAATCTCTAACCCGTAACGAACCTCACAGAAAATGTCACGTCAGCGTACTAGCAACATTTAAAAAATATATTTAATTTCTAATGTTCAGGCCAAAGGGAGCCGAACCTGGGCGTTATCCTCGAATGACGAACCTGTCACTCCGATCTCACTAATCACATGGGATCACTTAGCATCCTCATGTGACGCCAGACTGGAGTGATTCGAACATTCATGTTTTAATCACCAATACAACCTCCCGAAGACAATGAATAGGAATAAGCTGCACGTATTTAGCTTTTCCGTGGCTATTTTGATGCCCGATGCAAAACAAAATCAACGCATTTGAATGAGTAAACTATACAAACACTTAGATAAGACCACCTTTAAAAATATTTCTCCATCACGGTGTTGTTCGTCCATGAGTACCACATCCTGTGTTAGCACTTGGGCCACGTCGGATTCAAAAGAGGGTCTGCTACTGGTGATGCGCGTGTGGCCTAAAAACTCTAGAATAGATTCAATATTTTTCAAAGACAGCGAATGTGCACGCCAAAACACTTCACTTGTCGTAGCACCATAACCATCCTGCTGTGCTTAGAGGGCCCACTGCGAGGTAGAGAACTCGTAATAAACCAAACTTTCAAATACAGAACTTCACTGCTCTTATTAAGGGAGGTGAAGAGGAGGAAGAGAGAATGGGTTCGCGACCCCAGGACCATACGCCTACCCTTTAACTTATAAATAATAGAATGGTAAGGGTTTAGTTAACTTTTAATGAAAGAATGTGTGTATTCTTCCACTAAGGGCTCCAACCCAAGGTTTGGAGCCTAGTTTACCTTTTACAATCATAAATGAAGAAAATACACGTCTGTCCACCCAACCACTGCAGCACCATTCCGATCCCTTGAAGTGGAAGCACATCACAGATCAATGAAGTTGGTGTTCACCAAAATTCCACTTATTGGAATGTTCAAGTAGACCTGTTTGTTGTGCTTTTTGAAGGCTGCCTAGAAAGTTCCAAGAGCATAGGTCCTTGAAGTAGGCTGAAAATGTGTGTTGTTTTTGTTTAAACTATCAGTCGGAATTTTTTGGCAACTATCACAGCGTGACCTGACTTATTTTACCGGAGGTCAAGCAAATTCGGGTAATGTATGTTTTTTTTTAAAAAAAAAAACACCCACTATCTGAGGCTAAAAGTCCCTTGAAATGCACACTAAAAATGGGAAAAATTCTGCGTCATTTGTTCCAATGAAACTCAACTCAAGGTTCAAAGTGTTTGACTGAATAATCAATTTGTTATTTTTACAAATAATAATGTGACAAAGTTAAATAAAAACAATCTCACCTCAAATGCCGGAGCACATCCTTTGGTAAATTTAAATTCACAATTATTATTGAAGCATTTAGCTTCCCTCAAGAGTTTCATGTAAATGTCCGAAACATAATAAAGTTCTTCATCACACTCCTGATCCATTGCCTTTCCCAGCTCTTGTGTCCATTCCCACAATTTGTGGACATTACAGGAGCTTGAGGGATCATTTATTTCCGCCCTTGAGCAAACGCAGGAGCCTTTTATAAGCCTTCGGAGGAGAAGCATCACTGCAGAACACTTCATGCTTGATGAAAACTTCGCAAGTTTACAATTCAGTAGACCCAAGTCGAAACAGTAAAGGCAGAGGGCTACAGCCTAAATGGACAAGAAGATTTACGAAGGGAGGCAGAAGATCCATTACTAAGAAAGTGTATGTAAAAATTACTCGTTGTAGGTCAAAAACGTCAGCAATATCATTTGAAGCCCGAATGCAACGCTTGAGGAATGTATGTGGTGTGGGGAACGGTAAGTCACACCAGAACAAATTCACCAAGAGGGTTTCATTGTTCGCGATCTAAGGATGTAAAATGAATCACTGGAGGCTGAAGCTGAGAGGAGAGAGAGAGAGAGAGAGAAATGGTAAATCAAGAATTCATTAACTTACCTGTTCCTCACTGTACTGATTGTTCGAGTGAGCAACCAAATCACGACGCATGTTGATGCATTCATCTTCACTTCTTGTTGAAGTCATTCTATCGCCTACCATGAGAGCTGCTAGTGCCATCAGGACATAGTTTCCTATTTTCGCTTTAGCACGCCACGGGTAGTGATCTATGAGCCACACAGCCATATGCAAACCCTTTGTGTCCATTTTCATGTGTGCTTGTAACTAGGATGAGAAAAATTTATAAAAGATTGTTTGAACATTACAGCCGGAGATTCGTAAAACGGTAACATTCCCAGTCTCCTACCGTTGTTAACCAGTCGACGATAATGGCACGATGAAACGCAGTTGTGACACCATTAAAAGGAAATGTGACGTTGTATTTCCTTGTCATTTCTATGTCACGTTGCAGTTCGAAGGAGGGACACTTAAGAAAGAATTACAAATGAGAAGAGTTTGTATGCAAATAAGACAATGACCAGCACAATTATGATTAAGTCTACCTCATCCGTCCCAGAGTCGCTGTCAATGTATTCGTCAAGCAAATTTTCGCAAGAGGGAGCTTCGACCCCATCTGCAAGGCAAATGAACTTTGTTGTAAGACCTGTGTGTTTATTACCCAAAAAATTTCTATTTCCAGGTTATATGCGATCTTGTTGACCACCTTGACATTAGGCTGTCCCGGTTGCCGGTAAAGTACCTCGAATGAGGGATGTCAAGGACAATAGACTGTAGCTAGCACCCACGACAATAGAAATAATTAAGCACATTCCAACCGATGACATTTCGTCTTGGACAATGTTTGGATATTAGGTTAAAGGTCCCCGCATTGGTAATGAATTTCAACTTGTCGTAATTAAATAAAGGGTTTGTTGAAAATTACCAAAACTAGGTGCAAGGCCAAAAGCAAGGAGGTGTCAGTGAGCAACAGAAAACGACGAACTTAGCTGAGTGCGTACCACGTAGGAGAATAAGTTTCAGCTGCGCGTTTATCCCCATACCCATTTAGCAGTGACAAGATAAAAGTACTCCGTCCTAATTATTAAAAGATTCTTGGAAATGCGACAGCTGGCAGAAAGTGTCTTGAACGGATAGTGATGCCTCTAATGCTGAGAACATGCATTTGGCCTAAAAGCACAGCTTAACAGTAAGTTAAATGGGAAAATAAAATAAGCCTTGATCGTTACCAATAGGAATTTCACATGTTCACCCTTTCCCTATTACGTAGAGTTCAATAAAAATTAAATATAAGGGAGGAATATGAAGAGTCGACTGCAACCTTTAAGCATGATGTAAAAAGGAGAACAAAATTTTACATTATTTGTACTTTACAATAATTATAAAGGCATGGAAGTTTCGAGTGGAACCATAACCTTGCGTGGGGAGTGAGCTGCTCTTCACCCTCTCAATGAAGAAAGAAGTATTGACCATTTGTTTGTCTGAAGTTGACCTCTACTTTGGTAGGCTAGGCGAAGTGTCAAGATGCACGTATGAGGCAATAAATTGACTTGCACTCCCCTCGGGCTCCGTCTCACAGGGCGCGAACCGCCGCAGTTACTAATTGGCTTAAAGCGAGCGCGAAACTTAAGTGTAGTGTAGCTAATTAAAGTTCAGTAGGTCGATAAATCGATAGGCTTACAACTAACTCTAGGATCGGGTGCTCCCCAAATTACCGTTAGTTATCTGTTGCACTGTCCACCGGCAAGAAGGGGCGAGGAGTTGAGTCTGGGTCGAGGAAATTACTAGAAAGAGTAAAAAAATGATGTGCTTTCAATTGGCAATAAATACAATTAAGTGTTCGCCTGCATCTTGATCATTGAAGTAAGTGTATGCTGCTGTTACAAAATGAGTCTGCAGCGACAAGTTATCAAATTCAATCAGTATGATGACAATACCTTTTCCCTACTGATGGCTCCTCTTTGTAAGACGGCGATTTTTCAATGACAAACTTAGGTCCACGTACTTTACCTAATCCGATTCTAGTTTCTGAAGATCTTTGCGCCTTAAAACGACGATGAAAGGGAAACCTCCACTGCTGTCTTAGTGGTTACGTAGCTGTTGAGATTACTGACTCCCATCCCAGTGGCTCGGACCATTGACCACTCAAGAAGCCGCTGACCCCATAACTGTCTCACCTCATGACCATTCGTTCACCCCTACATGGGTCAACTTATGACCTAAAAACGAACAATTGAGTGGCTACTTTCGTCTAGTCCGCAGGGGTGATCACGGACTC